ATATTATATATATATATATATATATATATATATATATATATATATATATATATATATATATATATATATATATATATATATATATATATATATACATAAACATAAAACATATTTGTAGGATATAATTTAAACGGTGATGCTGACGTTGGTGCCTTCTGTTGGAGTGCTGTATCTAATTCCATGGTCTTAGGTAGGTATATAAATATAATTGCCCTACGCAATCATCAACCGTGACTTACAACCGATCCTACAGATGCGGATGTACGGGGGTGGTACTAGAACCTGTATATACCCAGTGGGACAACCATATAAGGCAGCTAGCTATCTGCCAGCAACCATACAAGGCAGCTAGCTATCTACAAGCACAACCATACGAGGCAGCTAGCTATCTACAAGCACAACCATACAAGGCAGTTAGCTATCTACAAGCACGACCATATAAGGCAGCCATCTATCTACAAGCACAACCATATAAGGGAGCTAGCTATCTATAAGCACAACCATATAAGGCAGCTAGCTATCTACAAGCACAACCAGATCTAAACACTCCTATCACTGGATCTCATACATAAATGGCACTCATACGATTGCAAAACCCCTTATAGTAGTAACAACTCAAGGCACGGGCCACAGTTTAAATACCTACCAGTACACTGCCGGCCAATGGCTGCGCCGGGTGATGAGTCATCCACTCAATCCACTCCAGCATCTGTGCTACCGCCTCGCCCACCAACGGCTGCAACACATCATCTTCCTCAGACACAGACTGTGCACGCTGTGGGTCTATCTGATTGTCAAATGTGTGTGCATGTGTGTGTGTGCGTGTCTGTGCGTGCCTGAGGTGATCTGTCATGATCACACCCACTGACGCCGCTATGCTCGCGCCTTCCTCTGCGGTGGCCACATCGCCGCCAATCCCTGCAGGATCAAAACGCGTCAAGATGTCATGTGTGAGAAAATAAGACCGATAGTTCAACCACAGCATATGAGAGGGATACGTTACAACATCATGTGGAAGAGGACACGTGCGATAGTTCAACCAACAACCAACGAATAGAAGACGTTAAGATAACATGTGACAAATTAAGACCTATAGTTCAACCACTACCAACGGAAGGAATACATTGATACTTCACACACAAGCATCTGCAGAGCAGCCGTAGTAGGTAAAAAGTAATCATTCCACATTAACGCAGTGAAAGCTAAACCTTAAAATACTAAACCCTACAGATATAGGGTGGCCCATGCGTTCAAACGTACATCCATAATAGACAGAGCAGACACCCTATATACACAACACAGCAACACACACAACAACACACACTATCACACACAACAACACAACAACACACAGCAACACACAGGAACACACGACAACACACACAGGAATACATACCCGGCAGCACGGAGGAGAACAGCGCCATGACAACGGGATGTGTGAGCGTCACACGACACGCATCGCTGGACTTGGCACACAGACAGTGCAGCAGCAGCAGGCACCACTGCACCAGCCCGTGGTGGACGCTCCTGTATAATTGTCCATGCTCGTAGACGGCCCTGTCCCGTGCCGTAAGCGTGTGGCCCTTAAGTGGGTAGGCCACGGCCGCCACTATTCTCACACGTGACATAATACGCTCACACATACGTGCACAGTTGCGCGTGGCTAGCCTCGTGCTACGCTCCAGCACGTGGTATAGCATGGCGTGGGTGTGTGCGTGGGTGTGTCTGAGTGTGGTGGTGTGCGGCTGGTAGTGGGTGGGTGCGTATACGCTATCGAACACGCGTGCGAACGCTGTAGCTATGGGAAGGTCTCTGAGGGCCTGTACACAACTCGGCACAAGCGTAGCCACACTCTCCACGTCTGCACACACGTCTGTGTGTGCTTCCAACGGATTGCTTGCCCCTGCACGCGTATGTGGGGTGGTGGTGGTTGTTGTTGTGTGTGCGTGTGTGTCGTCTGCGGTGCCTGTGCTGGTGCTATATGGCATGGGAGAGAGGGTGTGTGTGTGTGCGTGTGGCTGTAAGGGGGGTGCGGTGCCCGGCACACACATGACTGAGCAACAGTGCGCGAAGAGGCTCAGTTTAACCGCCTGTAGCACACGCATAGCGTCTTCGTTGACCGGGGTTAGTCCTTGTAGCATGTCCTCTATGGCCACAGACAGGGCCGTCAAAGGCACCTGTGTACGGGTGGGGTAGGGCGGGGTGAGGCAGATAGGTTTCAGTAGATAAAATATAGGTTTCAGTAGGTAAAAGATAAGTCTCAGTAAATAAAAGATAGGTTTCAGTAGATAAAAGATAGGTTTCAGTAGTAAAACACCTGTGTATGCTATATGTATCATTAGTTCATGAGATACAGAATGAATTATGCGTATGGGCCAGAGAGAGAGGCTTTGACTACATCAATGGGACGGCGAAGGCTGAGAGGTTAGGTTTCCTTTTTGACCGCACTGATACCATTCATACCACACTACTATTGCTAACACTATCACATATTACTATTACCATTCATACTACTATTACTAATAATATTGCTATTACTACTATATGTTACTAATACCATTCATATAGCTATAACTATTGCTATTGCTATTACTATCACATATTACTATTACCATTCATACTACTATCACTAATACTATTGCTATTACTATTATATATTACTAATACCAGTCATTTGTGCCATTATTTATTGTAGAGCTCTTTGTAGAACTAATTGCAGTCAGGTAAACATTAAGCTAGACTTATGTTACGAGAGTGCAAGGCTGATTGTATTCAACGTGAGCACAGGATGTGTACCTGCGTTACCCCATTCGTATGCATATAAATATATATGGTCTTCTCTGTATATGACCTTCTACATATATATATATATATAACTCTACATATATATATATATATAACATTCTATATATGTATTTATATATAACATTCTATAAGTATTTATATATATAATTTATATATATATATGTATGATCTATATATATATAAGAACATATCTCATCCCGTCTCGCAGTAGTGGCAACATTGCATGCAAACAGACTCGTGGCAGCACTAACAGGCTTACACACGCACAAACAATGCGCCAACTTACAAATACCCGCACATACGCACAAACATACATACCCACAAACATACATACACACAAACATACATAAACCTATACCCACAAACATACATGCACACAAACATACATACACATGCACAAGCACCATCCCACTCACCCCAGACCCCGCCATATCCGCCAGCGCATTCATCACAAACGTCGCTACAGCCGATGTGTCTTCCGGTGTCTCTGTGTTGTGCTTCTTCGCAAAGCGATTGAGCACTACTAACAGCAGTGGTCCAAACGGCGTATCACCACTGTCCATGCGCTCGTAGGCTTGCAGCATGGGCGTGAGAACCGGAACACACACCGCTGAGACACCCTCTTTCGCGGTCTCTGGTCGTTGCATGCTTGTACTTGTACCTGTACTTGTTCGTGTTGTAGATGGTGTGTGTTGTAGGTCTCTTTCTTCTGTCTGTGTGTTGGTAGGGCTGTTGGTATCGGCCAGCGTGTTCATCATCTCCACCAACCGATCAAAGTACACATAGGGGTCTGTATACGCCTGTAGAAGCGCGTCCTCGAGCATAGCAACGGCCGCTACTTGAGTGTGTTGTGAAGTGTGTGTGTGTGTGTGCGTGGGGGTGTCTGTGCCTAAGCTGTTGAGCCACGTGTCTATCTCCGCGGGGTTGTTGGTGAACATGGATGTTCGGTCCATGATCTGTGGGGGAGTAGGAGGGAAGACGGATGGGGTAAGGTTGTGTACGAGTGGATGGTATGTACATCACTCACAGCAGGGTTGTAAGGTAAATAGTGTAGCAAACGTAGTAGGTAGGTAGGTACATATTGTTTATGAGGTGGCCGTTTTCATGGATTACAAGCCCTCGAGTGGTGCACTTGGTTTTCAAAAACCCGAAACCGTAAAACCCTTGATGACTGTGGTGTGACCTACACTGTAGGGCGAGAGAGTGGGGAGTAGGGCCTATTATATCGTACCATCTACCACACGCATAACAGCATCAAACCGTTCTTGACTGTATATGAATGGTTAGCGTTTGAGATACGTACAGTAGGATTGGTACTCAAATAACGTTTAGTTGATGCTAGTACCTGTGAGTTCGGTACATATGCATGGTACAAACAAAAGGTTTGGTATTGGTTTTAGGATAGTGGTGTATAAAAATGCTTTTGAATAAGGAGAATGTACAATAATATCTGCCGGCGGTCAAGCAGGCTGGCTCTACGCGTCAGAGGTGTACATGATAAATATATATATATATATACATACATATATATATATATACATATATATATATATATAATACTAATACTAATACTAAAACAATAACTATATATATATATATATATATTATATATATATATTATA